CCCCTTCATTTCTTCACGAACGCCTCAACAACCGCATTGAACCTCTCCGGGTTTTCAAAAAAAAAAAAAAAAAAAAAAAAAAAAAAAAAAAAAAAAAAAACCATAAATTGACTTCCCTTTTCCTCCGCTGTGTGTGTATAACTCTCTGCCCCCGGAATCTGGCTTGCAACCCACGCCACCGCAACGGCCGGGACGAGGTGGATGAAATGGGACCGCTCATTCGTGACTCGGGCAGGGGCCCTGTGACGGCAAGTCAGGCAGTTTGGGCCGTTAAGAAGGGGAGGCGCGATCAAAAACGCCTTCCTTCCAGAGGCTGGACAGATATCCCTTGGTTCCGTCGGGCGGTGGGATATGCGCAGTGTTGAGGTTGGCTCCAGCGATACCGATAGGTTTGGGCTAATTTGTTCTTGGAGGTTTGATGGAAGTGATGGATGTGATTGAACTGTATTTTTCCAAACAATAACATTGTTGCCGTAACTAGGTGCAAGTGAAATGAGACCTTGATCGACACGCTGGACGGACAGGTAATTAGACAAAGGGCCACAAAAACCTGCAAGTCTCATCCCCCAACAACCCCACAAATGCTAGTGGGAAAGAACGCTATCGAACCTCACTAAAAACACCGGGATGGGAACAATGCAACTCTGATCCATCCGTGCATGTTCTGGCGCCCCTCTCTCCGCTCAAAGCGCAACAACAGCTCCCACGACACCAACCACTGCCACGACCCCCGCAACAAATCCAGTCTCCCTCGCCCCCGCGCCAGTCTTGGTAGTGCTCTGCGCCCCGGCTGTCCCAGTCGTACTTGCGCCACCCGTCGTCCCCGCTCCACTGCCCGTCGTCGTTGAGGTCGTCGCCGTCGTCCCAGCCCCAGTCACAGCGTCAAGAGCCGTACTGCAAACCAGCAAGTCCAACCCCCAGCGTTCCTCCAACCCACCCACCTCCTTTTCCAGCTCCGGGCACTGCTCCGCTATCAACGAGGTAACCTTGGGCAAATTCTCCCCAACCCATGATACCACTGCGCTCTGGTACGAGGAGAAGGCCGAGGCCTTGGACGCAGGGGGCGTATATTTGCATGGGTCGGTGATGGGCGCCTCGTCGGTTAGCCCGACTAGCGAGTCCGGGACGGTCGGAAAGGCGGAGACGAGGGATTCGATGGAGGCGAGGCATGATGAGGCGGTTTGGCGCGGGTGGATGTTAGATGCAGCGGCGAGCGCGGGGAGGAGAAGGAGGGTTTTGGAAAGCATCTCGAAGGTGTGATTTTGGTTATTGGGTTGAGCGTAGTCGGGTGATTGAAGCCTCGGGTTGGAATGGTGGTGGGAGAGGTTGAGCTGAGTGTTGGGTTCCTGGCAGACTTTTATTCGTATCCATGTTCATCGCTCTGACTACGAATCGGCCTCATCAGTCATCGTAGCCGAAATTAAGCTTTGTCGTCCAGGGGCCGCTAGGGGGTTTTGTTGTCTGGTATCAGATGCGATAGGCCCGCAAGAGTGGGGGGGTAAGCGGCGAATAGGCCCGATGTAACTGTGGTTCGAGGGCTCGGGGCAAAGTCGCCGCTGCGGAAGCCGCCACGCGGTGGAAGATACGAGTTTGGCTACTGGTTGAAGACTAACATTACGCTGCTGGCAGAACCTACGGCCTAGGAGTAGAAGAAACGACGTGAGCGAGAACCGATCCCCCAGAACACAAGCCTTGAACATATCTCTCCGTACTGGCAACCAGTGAAGCTCAGCCATGTTTGACGGAGACTTCCTTGGACCAAAACCATCGATGCTCAAAATACCTGCATCTTCCATCCTCATCAACGCTTCCGCCGCGAAAAACTTGAACTCAAAATCTTCCACCTCTCGTCTGCTGACAGCATCGAGTGCCAAATTTGTCCACTCGTCGATTTCGGCAATTCGATTTTTAATGTATTCTTGCACCTCCAAAAGCTTCGCAATATCCCTTCGCGACACATACAGGCAATGCCAGACTTCCCCAGTTCCCTCCACAGCCGATCTTGGTCGACATCGGCCCCGCGTCACATCAAGCCGTCCGGATTGTCGTCCAGTGATGGGATGTGTCCTAGAGGAACAGGCCGTGGGCAGGGTTCCGTGAACCAACCAATCGTAAGGCGGTGGATCCCGACTGCTAGCGGACTCAGGTTCAGCAACGCGGTGAGGCATAGCGCGATGTGGTCCGTTGCAGTGCATAGTGCCGTCCCGATATCTCTGATATGCGATGCATACTTCTTCGGGTTTTGAAGGGTCCTCACGGTCAATCGTTTGATCGCACGGGCCGACAAAATTGTATTGCTCGACCAGCGCCCACCCCGCCGCGCCGAAGTGCAAGATGTTGGAGTCAAGGGGAAAGCCACTCCACGCTTTGATTTGAGGAGGTATATCGGAGATATCAAACTTCCAGATCTCGTTTTCCTGTGTCGACCAGGCTTGGGGTTCCTCTTGATGCTGCGCCGCGCCCAAGTTGACGGGACCATCTTCGGGCTCAGGTTGCGCCACATTCAATTTGACCGGATCAACTTGGGATTTGGGTTGTGCCGCTCCCAAGTTGGCAGGGGACTTGAATCGCTGGATCTGGGTCTTCAGTCTGCCCTTCAAAGAGGATAGCAGGTGGCCGGGGGTGTGCTTGAGCACCCTTCGTAGGCCGTGTGCCAATTTCTGTGTTGGTGGTTTCACTTTGGCCGATCGTGATTTGGAAATGCAAAAGTAGCTGAGTGTTGCAGAATTGCAGCAATGCTCAACAACTGGTGGTGGAGAAAACTACAAGAGGCGCGAGCGGGTGAGATGTGTTGCCTGAAACTTCGACCCAAAGTTAAACCTTTGACCCATGAAGTTTCTTTGGAAAGCCTCCCTGTAGCCTTTTCTAACTCTAATCAGACTCAGAGTCTCCAACTTCACCGATAACATACTGCTCAATATCATCGCTGGTGTGTCCTCGCGGTATATGGAAATTGAACGTGAAAGACCGGTCGGGGGGCGTGATGCGAGTCGAAAATCCAGCGTACCGCCGACACTTTGCTTCAATGTCAAGTCTGCTGAAGAGCCCGACCCGGATTCCACCTCACGCCATTTAACCTTCACCAGTTCGGACACGATCTTTTCCAGAATCTCTTCAGGCATCAAGTGGGGGTGGGCACTGGCCGTGGGCTTTTCCATATCGGAGGTCGACATCATGGTACCGATGGAGGCTGGGAGGACGTGTCAGCGTATTGCCGAACGCCCAGAGATATTCAATGAACACTGAAGCCAGTCGTGGTCCGAAGAGGTAAGCCATTCGTGAGCCGAATGGGCAGGAAAGGTGGCAGCTGCAAGTCCTGATTTAGCGTGACCGCCGTTTGCAGCTTTGGCTCCTTAGTGCAGGGCACGGACCACTTCGAACTTGGCACCTGCCCAACCAATTCTGGGTGATCAACACTGGTACGCGACCTCGCTCTGAAATGAAAAGTGAGAACGAACGGACACCTTGTGCCAGATTGCTGGCTACGACGGGGCTGTAGGTCTTCAGGCTTGGTTACTATATTTCCAATCGATAGCTTCTGAGAGAAGGGAGAGTTGGTGTGCTTTTTTTGTTGGGGTAATTTGGTCTCCTGAGACCGCGTCTCAAAATCCCCGGCAGGTATCATCAATTCGTCTTGTGGCTTGCTGGGAGCTCCTTCCCTGCCAGCACACCCTTGAAGCCAAGATGGAGTGCATCTCGGCAGGTGGGCGATCCTTCACAAAACGAACCGCACTCCCGCCTTTTCTCGAGCTGGCTGGCGTTCATTGTTCTCAACTTCTCAATTGGGCCCGGATGCGTGACATCCCGCCGACACATGTGATGCCGACCCAGGACCACGGAGTCAACTGCACACAAAGAATGTCGAAAGGAACCAAAAACGCCGGCCCCGCCCCCTCGTCTCCCTCCCGCCCTTCCTACCTGTTCTGTGCAAATGGCTGCAGAATCGCGAAAATGGAGACATCAAGTAACACAGATGACTCCTCGGTGACGGACTTTAGTGACGTTGGCGGCAGCCCAAACACTCCCAACACCTCCCTACGACCCCTTCCAAGCATAGGTGAACAGAGCTTCTGCGAGGGTCGACATTATCACCGGTATCGGCCCGGCCGCTACCTTCTCCCGAATGACCAAGTAGAGCAAGACCGAGAGGAAGTCAAGCACTTCATGCTCCTCGAGCTCACCAACGGCGCACACTTCCTCGCTCCGATCGACGCAGCACATCTCCACAAAGTCCTCGACCTGGGGACCGGCACCGGCACCTGGGCCATCGAAGTCGCCGATCGCTATCCCGCCGCCACAATAACCGGCATAGATCTGAGCCTGATCCAACCTGACTGGTCACCTCCTAATGTCAAGTTCTTCGTCGACGATATCGAAGATGAGTGGGTGAGCGGTAACAACTTCGATCTCATCCACGCGCGCCACGTCTTTCCGCTTATCAAGGAACCGGCAACTCTCACCCGTCGCGCATTCGAACACCTCGCCCCCGGCGGCTGGCTTGAGCTACAAGACCTCAGCCATCTTGTGTGCTGTGATGATGAAACCATGACCCTGGACTATCCAATCGCCCAGCTTTTCGATCGCATAACGGAAGCATGGGGAACATTCGGAGCCGACCTGCGCGTAGGACCGAAGCTGGAGGATATGCTTCGCACTGCAGGGTTCGTCAACGTTGAGACGAGGGCATACAAGATACCAATCGGGTCATGGCCGCATGACACGAAGGGAAGGGAACTGGGGTTATCGTTCAGGGTTGTGATTCAGATGGCGCTTTCGGCACTCTGCGGCGCCATCGCAACGGTGGAGGGGTGGTCGGAGGAGGATAGGAATGTATTGACGGCGCGCTGCGACGAGGCGTTGGAGGACAACAGTGTCCACGCGTATATGCATTGCTATTTCGTCGTCGGGCAGAAGCCTGTGGCCTAGGCGGTGAGGGAGAAGTGGTGCGGAGCGGATCGACTACGTTGAAAGATCAGAAAAGGGTCCGATTTGGACATCAAGGTCCGCTGGCTCAATGGCAGAGCGTCTGACTACGACTTCACAAAAGTTATTAGGAGGTTCCAGGTTCGAACCCTGGGTGGATCGATCTAACACACGACGGATGAGGAAAAAGCTCCAATTTTTATTTTTTTTGCATCTCCGCGCTGATGCCACTGGATACCCACCACTTTTCGGATTACTTGGGAATCCTCCCGCTCGCTACAATCGCCACCCAAAGCAAATCCCAGCTGCCACCTCTGTACCTTTCCTCCAGAAAAGCCTTGACCAATCCCTCGACTTCCTCCCTCGAATGCGCATTTCTCGTCTCCTCGCTCCAACAACTCGTCATCACCAAGTTCACGATCATCCCAAAATTCCTCACAAAATACTCCGCGCTATCCACCTTCTGCAGGAAGGCATATGGCTCAGCTTTCACATCTTGCAGGCCTTTGGACTCGAGGGTTTTTCGGATCCAGTTCGGGTCGGACCACTCTCCCCACGAGGTTGTTTGCGTACTGGCAGCGAAGGGGGCCTCGAAGGGGAAGGAGGCAAAGGCGCGCTGGATGTCGGGTGCCCAGCCGAGAGGTTGGGTCCAAGTTGTGAAGGCTAGGGTGCCGCCGGGGGAGAGAATTCGAATTGTTTCTGGAAACGTCAGAGTCGGGCGCAAGGAGGAGGGTGTGAGAAACGATACCATCAAGAGCGGCTTCAGAGTCAGGGACGACGTGGAAGCCAATGTTCATGGTCACGTGGCTGAAGCTGGAGGATGGGAGGTTGGTTTTCTGCGAGTTTTTGTAAGTTTACACCTCGAGAGAACTTGTGTAGGATCCTGTACCTGGGCGTCGACGGTGCTTGCCTCAGTGTTGGTCCACCTTTCTTCATTTATCCTCTTTTGGACAAACCCAATCACCTGCTGTGAGAAGTCACCGCAGAGGATGCTGCTCTGCTGAAGCACTTCAGGCTTGATTCGGCGCTGCAGTTCGGATGCGACGACGCCCGCACCGCAGCCGTTGTCTAGCAGCTTGAACGGCTTGGACGTGTCTTCATTGAGCCCGATTTGGTTCAGCATTTGTGTGACGAGCGGCACACTGACACGCTGGGCGTTGTCAAGGAGGACATCCTCCCAGGAGGTGCCGATTGCGCTGTAGAGGTTTTGGAAAAACTTGTTGAGTTCCTTTGCGCCTTTTGCGGAAGTCATGATGGCAAACAGAATGGATCTGCTGGGTTATAGAGTTGGAATCGCTTAGATAAGGAAAATATTGGCGGTGTATTCTAATATTTAGCTCCTGGGGTTATCCTACTTGATATTTATAGCCTTCGTCGCTGTACTTGTGGCATCTTGGAAAGTTTCCGAGAAGTCGCCGGGTGGGTCCCCCTTTTGGACGACAGCGGGTGCGTCCACCAACCTCAACAAAGACGCCAACCAAAACAAAGCTTATGTAATGGAAAGTATCCGACAAGTCTCCGAAGACCAATCAGACCGTATGTCTTGCTGCGCAGCGACGTTTTCGCCTTGGCTAGCACTGCCAGTGATGAGCATCCGCCCTGAACCTGTAAACAAGGCGAGTGAGCCTCGGAGGCGAAGGTCTAAGTTTAAGGACCCTCGAACCGAAATGGGTACATGGAAGAGCTGAATCGGCGATGTGGATTTCGAGTTCATACCGCTGCAACATCAAGACGTGTGAACCAAACGCAAACCTCCTCTGGACTATGACCCAGTAGCATCTCTACCGTAATTGGGACGTTTCTTACTCTGTTCAAGCTGCGAATGAGAAACAGCGATATATGTAGTCTTCCGGCACCTCATGCAGACAACCCGTTGCATCGTTAGTTTGAGTCCATTCCGTAACGTCAAAAGCCCCGGGCCGCAGTTCTCTGCAGCCTTGATTGTCTCCTATTTCCCGGCGCAACATCTCCAAGGTTCATTTTTATCCTCCCTCCTCCCGAGATCCAGGTCTGGGTCCCGCACATTCGGTTAGGCACTAGGAGCATTGAGGCTGCTTTTAGGCAGTGATGTCCCGAATACGCGAGATGGGATCCCCAGTTGTCGGCCACGATAGCCCGAGAATGGGGTGACAAGATGATATTCGACGGCGCCGAGTGGAGCGCGCTTGGCATCGGCAGTTAACATGACAGCGGAAGGGTGGCGCCGGATTGGAGTGGGGATGTTATGCCGGCCTTTTTCCAGAAGTCTTGACGAATGGAAGCTGACAGGGGGTAAAGGAGGAAACGCATTTCTACCGGGACCGGGGTGAAGAAGTATCTACCGGCACCAGGGGTATAAAGTGCAAAACACGCTGATTGGCCGCCGATATATCAAGTCATTAAAGACGGGGGATATCCTGAAAATGGACTAGAGGTTGCGTCAGTCGTGCGGCCTTCTTAAATACCTTAGCTACCTTGGCGGGACAGCCCAAGAGATTCTGTACGATGCGAGCCACTCAGCCCTCGACCGTCTAGGAGTCTGACACAATGATGCATCTCGGCCTTTCTGTTGCATGCTACGCCCTGGCACTCGCGGCGGGTGCCTTGGCCGCCCCCGAGCCGTTGGATGTGATCGAGGCTCGCCAAACGCCGTGGAAGGCGACAACCATCACCAGCCATGCCGAGCCATGGGCCATCGCTTTCCTGCCCGATAACCGTGTCCTCGTCACCGAGAGACGAGGCAACCTGCGGCTCGTGAACCCGGAAACCAAGGCCACGGGTACCATCACTGGTGTGCCTGCCGTCGCGTACGGCGGCCAGGGCGGTCTGCACGATGTCGCCCTGCACCCCAACTATGCCGAGAACAGCATCATCTATTTGAGCTGTGAGTGCAAGAGAGTTCCTTTCCTGGAGACAACGAGCTGATATGTATTTCCCGCAGATGCCGAGAGCGGTTCTGGTGGAGCAGGGGGTGCCGTCGCGCGTGCCAAGCTGACTATCAACACCAGCGGCGGTGGTGCGCTTTCCGACCTCTCTGTTATCTGGCGTCACTCGCAGCGGGCCTCGGGTGGCCTCCAATTCGCCTGTCGCCTTCTGTTCGGAAAAGATGGCGCGCTCTGGATCGCGTCGGGCGAGATCAACCAGATGACGCCGGCGCAGTCCATGACGGCCAACCTCGGAAAGATGATCAAGCTGTACGACAACGGCACCGCATTTGCCGGAAATCCGTTTGCCAGCCAAGGTGCTGTCCAGTCGCAAATCTGGTCCCTTGGCCACCGCAACCCGCTCGGTTTCGACTGGGACGCCGAGGGTCGTCTCTGGGAAGTTGAAATGGGTCCCATGGGCGGCGACGAGCTCAACCTCATCGAGCAAGGAAAGAACTACGGCTGGCCGCTGGTGTCCCAAGGCCGCCACTACGATGGCCGCACGATCCCCGCGCACAGCACACGCCCCGAGTTCATCCCGCCCAAGGCCTTCTGGGTCCCCGTCATCTCCCCAGGCGGCATGATCATATACAAGGGCGACCTGTTCCCCAGCTTCAAGGGCAACGCCATTATCGCCGGCCTCAGTTCGCAGTCGATTGTGCGCGTGACCATCACAGGCGACACGGCCAAGGAAGCTCAGCGTGTGTCGATGGGCAGGCGCATGCGCGGTATCCGGGAGCACAAGGACGGCTCCATCTGGGTCATTCAAGATGGTAACAACGGCCAGCTCATCAAGCTTACACCCAACTAACTTGACAAGCCGGAGACCTGGGATGGTTAGGACCGTACATACATCAGGTAGAGCTAGGATAGTAAATCACCTCTGGGCTTTGTGAGAGCGTTACCAGATAATCCTTATCTCTCGTGTCGAGGGGCAGTCTTTGCACTTAGATAGGTATGAGAATGTTGGGTAACGGAAAGAGCTGGATGTAGAGTGTGGCTAGAAGCTGATGTATGTTGAAGGCGGTCAACAGCAGCACCCGCCGCTCGACAAACACTCAGAAACCGGCTCTCCAGCGATCAGAAACCGCCACTCAGGTGTCTCTCTCCACGCTCTTATCGATCGATAGAGACAGCGTGCGGGCGTAATCGACCAGCTTACCTAGGCTTGTATAACTTCAACAACAATATCCATATCTTCTGAGCCGGATCGGAGAAGGGGCCTTGGAATCCACGCCGTGCTATCTCCGTCATGTTGGAGGACAAAGCTTCCAACAGCGTCAATGTCGGGTCTTCAGGCTTGATCCCGTTGTTTCTGGCAACGAGGATGTCAACATGGTCAGGCCGCTCGATCATCATGGCGGCACAGACATGATGACTTCCCTTGATGTTGGCTACCAGCTCTGAAAGCCTATCTAGGAAAGCAATCTTCAGCCTCTTATCGCGGAAGCTAGATGATGCGGTATCAAGGTTTGCTCGGGTCAATTCCGCATCGTCTCTCGAGTCCTGGTAGTCCTCGGGCTCATTGCGAAGAAAATCGAAAGAGTTGGTCGCTTCTTCAACTTGGCCGCCGTTGCGGAGTCTCAGGAGCTTCGCATAGGCCTCAAATCTGGCCTTTTTGAACCCTTCGGGACCCCAGTGAAAGGAAGCGTACATCGTCAGTAGAATCCTGGTGACGTGGGTGCAAAGTTCATGATTTCCCTCACCCCGCGACCATTTTTGTCAACTCCCCCAACCCCGCACGTCCTCCCAACCTATTAGAACTTGTTGCGTGTTGTGTCACCGGACATGATGCTGGCTGTAGGCCTCATTGCATAGAGGGCTTGGGTGTAACCGCCAGCCAGGCATGTAGGCTGGTGCTAGGAATGTAAGAATCGAGGGCGTTAATCTAAGGAACCGGAGCCCTTGACGTTGGCGACACAGGCTTCTTCAATCGCGCAAAGGAGAATAGATCAATTCTTGCGTGGCCTGCTTCCGGCTAGGCAGACGTCTGAGGAGTGCAATATGTGATTTTACGGTTGCAGAAAGGATGAATTATTGATGACAAGCTCGGATTTGGTGCTGGGTCGAGCCCCAAACACCGCCAAGCGTTTGTGGCTGATTGGCGGACCCACACGCAGTTCAACATCAGCAATGATCGTTCTACCAGTCACCACAACGCAAGCACTCGCCCCATCCAGAAGTAAACCCGCTGTTTCCAATGGGACATATTCGCGCACTCCATTCAACAGTTTCGCAATCAGCAACGCTTATCCTCCT